CCAAGAGTCAGTGGTTTTGTCCCAAGGCACTTATGTAGGTTTTCTGTGTAGTTGTAATTATGTAATTTAAAGTAATATTTTGAAAATCAAGACTATATAAGGGTACCAAGAGTGAGATTGTTGAGCATAAAGAAAAAAAGCTGAATCTTATGGACAAACTCAGACTGACTTAGAAAATGCTATAATGTTAGATGCATGTGACACAAGAGTGTGAACATAGTAAAAGCCTCTAAGGATGCTGTAATCAGATAGTGCCTTGTGTTCTTGCAACACTTGAAAGAAATTTTAAGTTGTATGTGATGTATTATAGGCATAATTTATATATTAAAGGTTCATATGACAAAAGAAAGGATTTTTCCATCAGGTTCTTCATAATCAGAAACATAATACTTCATTCTTATAATATTGGCCAAAGAATGCAAAGTGAATTTTTTTCTAGCCAGATGACAATATTTAATATATTCATATATGAATTATTTTTATGATTTTTAATTGACTTGGTGCCAGTCCCAGTTGCTTTAGATAAGAGTCCTTCTAGAGATTCTGGGGTAATTTCTCAGAATTTTGTGTGAGATGATACAGCTTAAATGTCAATAAATTTTATATTGCAGTATTCCCTTCAATAATAGTATAACATTGGACAAATCATCCTTATCAATAGGAGTTCTACCAAAAGTTGTACAAGTAAAGTTCATAATATAATGTTACTAATATTATAGAAATGTAACAGTTTTTTTCTGCTCCTATTCTCAGATAATTTGATTACTATGGCTAGAATTTATTCTATTATTATTACCAAACTGCCTTAATTAAACACCTACTAAATGTTGGTTACTCTTCTGGATTTCCTGGTCTCTGAAGATGAGCAAGACAAAAATTCTTGCTTTCATAGCTATGAATTGAAGTAGGAGGAAAAGATAATTTTAAAAAATGGAATAATGATTTAAACAGGTACTGAACATTGCTAAGATGGGAAACAATTTAGGGAAATATGAAGAAAAATTAGGGGCAGAGATAATCTTCAGTGACTTAAAGCTATTACTGGGGAAAATTTTGATGTTGGAGTCCAGACAAAGGACACAGGAGTGCTTCACATATTTTTGAAGCAGCAAAGTCAGTGTTTTGCTGAGTTTAGAATGCTAGAAAATAAAGTCACAAAGGCAGCTACTAGATTATATATGACTACATCAGGGCTGTACACTAAATAAGGCTTTTGGGTTTTATTCTAAGAATAAAACATGCCTTATATAGCCTGATCTATGTTTTAAAATATAATTCTGACTATTGAGTGAGAGTGGTCTATATAGGACAGAATTGCATTGACCTGGAGAGAAGAGAAGTTAAGAGTAGGAATTACCTTTTCTGGGACACTCTCTCTCTCTCTCTCTCTCTCTCTCTCTCTCTCTCTCTCTCTCTCTCTTTCCCTCTCTCCTTCCCTTCCCCTCCCTCCCTCCCTCTTTCTGTTTACACATATGCCAGTAACAAAGCACATTCCCATCTGAATCTTTCAAACGAAGGTTAAATTATAATCAAAGTGGCAATATGCTACCACATCATTCAGTTTATATAATGTAAGCTTAATCCTATAAAGTTATAATTCTTTGATTGTTGTTGTTTATATGTTTATAGTGCTGTGTGTTGAACCCAGGGCTTCACGCACGCTAAGGAAGCCTGCTACCATTTAACTACATTCTCAGTCCCAAATTACAATATTTTTAAGTACTTCTCTATGTAGTCAACATCACAACACATTTGTTGTTTATGCTTTGTGGCTGAAGGTTAACACAATGTTACTTATTCTGCTTTGCTTGCAAATATTTATAATAATTCTGTGAAAATTTAAAGAGATATTATTTCACATGCTGGTATTTAAGTATCATAAGTAATGATAGGTATACGTTTTAAACATTTAAAACAAGTTTTTAAACTGTGACTTTTAAAAATGTATGTGGTTAGTACTTTCCAAATTAGTATTCTGGCTCTTAAATCTCTCCATGCAGAGCAGTGTAGTGTATAAATCTTAGTATCCATCAAGGCATTTTTATGTACACAATCTTCTGATTTGATTAATGGCATTCAGTGATTGTAATTTAATGTGGCATCCAGTAAGAACTTTATATATGTGAGATGAACTAACTTATGTTATTATTTTTGTATAGTAATTTTACTAAAGTCATAAAATCACTGTTTTCAAGAAAAACATATAATAGTTTATATATTTGGAAACTTAAAGGTTATTATATATACTCTTAATTTTGCCTAAGAAAGAGATAGAAGAATTAGGAAGTAAAAACAAGGAAAACTGAGATTTGGATATCTTTAAAATGTCACTTTTCTTTTCCTGCGATGAAATAACTGAACTAATCAACTTTTAGGGAGGAATGTGCTTTTGGGGCCATGGTTATGGTGTTCAGTCTGTTGCCAGTTTGCTCATTGCTTTTGGTCCTGTGGGGAGACAGTGAATCGTGGTGAGAAGCACTTGTCAGCCATGAAACAGAGAAACAAATGGGCCTTTGGAGAAGTCAGTTCCAAACTATAGCAAATGGCTTTTTAAGGGTGTGTGTGTGTGTGTGTGTGTGTGTGTGTGTGTGTGTCTTAGGAAGGACAGTCTAAGTGTTCGTCCTTGAAAATGAATACAAATGCACCCAAAATTTTCTCTTAGAAGAGTCATTAACATAACCATCCTTTCTCCCTTCCTTCCTTCCTTCCTTCCTTCCTTCCTTCCTTCCTTCCTTCCTTCCTTCCTTCCTCTCTCTCTTCTCTCTCTCTTCTCTCTCTCTCTCTCTCTCTCTCTCTCTCTCTCTGTCTTCCGTACTGAGAATTCACAATGGTATCCAAAGCCTTTGCACTGAGCTCCAGAGCCAGTCTTATTTATTCATTTAAAAGCATTCATTCAGTCAGTCATTTTTAGATGCAGGGATTAGCTAAATTGCTAAGGTGTCTAGGAGTTTGAATTTAAAATCTCCTGTTTCACCTTCCCAGAATGCTGACTGCAGGCCCACACCACCACACCTAGATGTTGTTAATTTCTCCATAGTGTAACTCTTGGATACTGTATCCCTGCACTGTCAAACACAAAAGTAAAAATCTTTGTTTAAACCCAGTATATTCTTGAAATTTTGATGATTCTGCCCTACTCTGCCCAACTTTGACAACCACGTGAATCAGTTCTCCTTTTCCTAGCTCTCCCTCTTACACTTATGGTATCCTTTTATTAGACTGTTCAGCTATGGTCTACTTCTGTGTCTGCACGCACGTGTGTGGGTATCCCTTTGACGTTTGCAGTTTATAGCACAAAAGGGCTACAGGGCTACAATAGCTGTTGAATTTGCTGACAAATGTCTGACCCTAAGGGGACATTAGTATTATGGATCAAAGTACAAGTTTTTCAAGATAAGCTCAGCAAAAACATTTTTACCTCCTCAGAACTCATGATCCAAAGATAGCTAATATTGTTATGAAATGAAAATAAAAATTCAGATGTGCAATTCTCATGAATTATAAGTACAATTATAGCAAATTCAAGTATCTTCTATTGTAGGAGATGTGTTGATTTTTTCTCTTCCTTTCTGGTAAGTGTATAAATAAGAAAAATATTTTAAACTGAAAAAATGACTATCAGGTCACTTTTTTCTTCAAATTATGTTATTTCTAGTATTTATGCAGGAAAAAATGACAGTTGAATTTTTTTGTTTTGTTTTGTTTGTTTTTGAGACAGGGTCTCACTATGTAGTTGAGACTGACCTGGAACTCACTCTGTAGCTCAGGTTGGTCTCGAACTCACAGCATTCGAGTGTTGCCTCAGCCTCCCGAGTGCTGGGATTGCAGGCATGCACCACCATGCCTGGCCAGTTGAATAATTTTTTGATGGGAAGTTTATATAAATCAATCATCCATTATTAACTCTTAACATTCTGTATTACTGATCACTAACCATTAAAATAATCTATGAAGGCTTATATGTTAAAATATAAATAAAATGGAAATAGGCTTATTTAGCAAGAAATAGTAATTAGAGATTCTCTCCTTTGTTGTGACTATATTAAATTATGAACTATTTAAGAAAAATGTCTGTCTATATTTTTAAGTATTCCCTAGTAGAGTTAGCTTGGACCTACATGATGAAGGAAGCAATTATTTTGCAAAAATCATTGACACACTTTATAATTATTTCTCAATTGAATTATGTTTGCCTAAGAAAGTCAACCGATAACTCTGAAATTCCTTGTGTAGGTTAGGAAATTCCACTGTGTCTTTGTTGAGTTCTTACAGGAAGTTTAGTGTTAGAATGCTGTATTCTTTTCAAGTTTATTTTATCTTTCAGGTAAAAATAAAAGATATTAATGTCATATACTGGTTCTCATTATTAAATGGCATTGGATAAAAAGATTAAACATTCATGAAAATACTATTTCCCTTAGGTTTTGGCTAGCAAAACATGCTGAAAGAAATAACTCACCCAAGGACTAAACTATAATACAGCACAGATAATCACAGGGGTTATAAACAAAGGCAGTTGACATTAATAATTAAGTGAGAAAAAAGTTCCCTGTGGAGGTTTCTGTGAGCTACAGACACAATATGTGAAATCACTTAGCTAACTGATCATAAATTATGTTCTAGACCAAAGGAGTATATATTAATTTAACCAGTTCTTCTATTCTACATTTCTAGCCCAATAATTTGTCTAATATAATAAATATAGCTATTATACATTTCCTGTGATGAAAAATCATTTCCATAAGAACCTGATGTTTTTGCTATCTGTACAAAAATGTCCATTATAAATAAATGTAATAAAGAAACCATCACTTCTCTAAAGTTTGTGTTGTACATTAATTGAAATGTAATGAAAACTATTTTATTATTACAAGTATCCAAGTGTATATCAACTTGACCTTTAAACTAAGGTTACTTATCATGTTTTTAACAGATTTTTGGATTGGTTTATATTTTTCTTTATTTTCTCTGCTTTTGAAAAATGTTGTCTACCTTAACAGGGTTCTCTTTATGAAGAAATATCAGTGCTGATAAATACCTGGGGACCAAGTACATTTCAGTGACCAAGGATGGCTTCTTCTTGGAAAATCATTCTATTTCTGTCAGCCACCGGGTGTCTTTCAGGTAAAACACTCTACCAGTTATCTGATTTTCTAAGCATGATACAATATAACAATGTTTCCAGTACGAAATATTTTCTAGTATATGTTTAAATTTATATCAATATTAATAGCTTTCAACAAAAAGTAGATCAAACAACATTCATCCTCTCTTAGTATTGCAAAGAGTTATGCACAACTCATTAAAGAAAATACATATAATAACGCCTTGGTTTGCTAGCATAATTCATTCCTGAGACATGCTTGTAATGCAAAGCACTTGTACATTAAAGCAAATTTCCCCATGAGAAATAATGGAAACTAAGATTAATCATTCCACAACCCAAAAATATTCATAAAATGATTACAATACTGCAATTTGATGCAAAATAATAAAGAAAACACAAGATACAAAGAAAAATAAACAAATTAACTGCACATCCCTTTGATAACCTTCCTGGCTGGTGTGAGGGAGATGAGAGAAGGGTTATTTCGTAGGATGACTTCCACCATCACTAATGGAATCACTGCTATTTATTGGACCAACAGAATTTTTTTTTCATGTAACTAACAAGGAACTTATCCAGTTACATTTGTTTTTATCTCTTTTGATGATTTCATGAAAATGCAATATTGTATTGCTAATAAAAAGATTAATCTCTAGAACTACTACAGTTTTATTCAGATGGTACTTTAAAAAATAATTTTCATGGTATATATTAGATATACATAATAATAACATTCATCATAGGGAATTTGTACCCATACATAATGTTTTGATTCTTCTCTTTTCCCATTTCCCTCCCCTCCCTGTAACCCTTCTTTCCCTCCACTCCTTATTCACAAAAGCTTTGTTTCCATTTTTCCTTCTTTTCTCTTTTTTCTCTTCCCTTCCTTCTTTTCCTTTTTTCCTCTGCCCTAGTTTTCCTTTGCATTTGAACATTTATTTCCCTTTATCTATTATACATTTTAGTCCTTACTGGCCATTTCAGCTTCTCACACCAGAGAAAACCTGTGATATTTGAACATGTGTGTCCAATTTATTTCAAGATGCATACATTGACCTAAAAATGTCTCAAGTTTATCCTTCTTTGAGGCAGAGTATTACTGCATTATATTAAAAAATTTATACATTCATCAGTTGATAGTCAATGGAACAGACTAGAAGATGCAGAAACAACCACAAATATCCTCAACTATCTTTTCTTTGATAAAAGGGCCAACTGCCTTCACGGGAAGAAAGATGGCCTCTTTAATAAATGGCGCTGGAAAAAGTGGCATTAAACATGCCAAAGATTAAAACTAGACCCATATCCCTCACCATGCACTAAACTAAAATCAAAATAGATCAAAGATCTAAATATTAAAACAGAAACACTAAATCTATTGGAAGATGCAATAGGTAGAACTTCTGGAGACCTAAGTATAGGCAAAGAGTTTATGCACAAAACTATGACAACACAGGAAATAATATAAAATCAACCGGGGCCTCATATTATTAAAAAGCTTTAGTACAGGGGAAAAGAGAAAAAAAAGACCAACAGAATGAAGAGACAACCCACAGAGTCGGAAAAAATGTTTCCAGTTGTTCATTAATAAAAAGGGTAATATCTAGAATATATAAAATATCAGAAAAATCAGACCTCCAAATTTAAAGACCCAATCCAAAACTTGGCATCTGAAATGAATAGACACTTCTCAGATTAAGAAGTGGAAACAGGGCCGGGGATTTAGCTCAGTGCTTCTGTCGCCTGCCTCGCAAGCACAAGGTCCCAAGTTAGGTCCCCGATACCAAAAATAAATAAACAAAAATTAAAACTAAAACATTTTTTCAAAAAGGAGAAGGAGAAAATTACTATATTAAAAAAAGTATTGCACATCATTGGTCCTTTGAGAGATGCAAATTAAAACAACACTGAGATTCCTTCTCATCCCGTAAAGAATGTCCCTCAAGAAATAAGCCAATAACAAATACTAGTGGCACTATGGGGAAAACTGTTGATGAGTGTAAACTGGAGCAACCACTGTGGAACGCATTGTGGCTGTTCCTCAAAAAGTTAGAGAGGATTCTCAGGAAAGGGTTATGTAAAGGAGATGGAGCCCTTGATGTGAGTGGGACAGCGTTCTGCCTGTGGTGATAGAACTTGATTGAATGCCGGCCCACTAGGAGGCCGAGATCAGGGGAAATGATATCCATGAAATATGTCATAAATATTAGTAATTATTACTAGAATAAACTACAAAGCAGTTATTTGATTCATGAAATTATAGTAGTATTATCGGTTGAAATTTTTTTAACAGAAGCACTCCTTTTGCTCTTCCAAGTACCAGCGTATATTTATATCAAAAGTGGTAAATTTAAAAATAGTATTTAGGATTATTGAAATTAGAGATATTTATCTTTTCCATACTGAGAAATTCTTTTCTTTACTGAATTTATAACTCTTAGAATTAAAAAGGGTGACAGATTATGTGGTTCAAATCTGTACTTGGGCACGTAAAATATAGTTTGTTCTTAGTAGGGATGAGGCTATGGCTCTCTCTGCCACATAGATGGTGACAGATGGAGGTAAAATGAGAGGACTGCCTCCCAGAGCAGTGTCATACAGAGTGATGTTTTAAATATTAGGGAGAAATTCAGCTGATTGTAGAGACAACGACTTTCTTCCAAGAACACATAAACTCCTTTAGTTACATTCCTCAACATTTCTTTCTTTTGCTTCTGATGTAACTCTATTACTTAAAAAAAAAAAAAAAAGGATTTTCTGTCTCTACTGTGACCTTCTGCTCCTCAGTTGGGATAAATCCATTTTATTGAAAAGGTGACAGTGTGTTCTTTCTGCCAAGTTGATCATATACTGTTGAACAGAGAGTGTCTGTCCTTGATAAGCTTATACAAATACACTTCTTCTTGTTGGCAGGGTGGTAAATTGCAGAGAACTTTATCACTGCCAGTTAGCACAGTCTAAGAACTTATAAAGGAGAATGAAAATAAAAGTGTTACAGCAAACAGGTGCTTGATAATATTAATCCTGCCTGGTCTGTTGTGCTTGAGAGAGAGAAATGGATCATGGCTTCTCCAGAATAATTTTTAAATTATATGTTTGCACATTGTACAGTTCCCCTGGGAAATCATGATGATAATGGAGACTACTTCAGGATGGGAATGCAAGTCAACTCTTATCAGCTGTGGCCCAGTGGTATTAGTTGTGTAATTAATCCAAAAACAATTTAATTTTTGGCAGGGGGATGAGTTGGGTTACCTGAATTAGTCAGTTTTATTATTTTTATCTTAAAAGCAAAGAAAATATTAGAAGGTGTCTCTAATTACCAGCAGTTGCTGGAATGATATAAAATTGAATCTTCAAGAGCAAGTTCATAATGCTAGAGAAATGATTGTAAATGTGTCTCAATGTATTGGAGATAAAGAGGAAATTAACTTATTAGGTCAGGTAAATGTTATTTCTTTTACATTAAAAATATTTATTGAAAAACACTTTACACCTGAGTATTGCCTAAGGAATAAGCAGTATGCATCAAAGGATTTTGTAGTCTAGAAGTGCTATGAAGATTGTCTCTTATTCCTTAAACTGAACTGACTTTCTAGGGTCATTTTCAGTAATTACATAACTTTAATGATAGAAAATTTATTACATAAATTGATTTTCTATTTTATAAAATAATGCTTGAAGATTCATATAATAGCATGTTTATGAGAATTTGTGAATGAACGTTTACAATATCATTATTAGAGCAGATATAAATTTTGAGTCCATAAATACTAACAAGAAACGTATATATTAAATGGTAATTATTTTTTTTTTACTATTTACCATGAGTGTTGGGAGAACTGCTTCTAAGTTGTCCTTTGAGTTATTTGTCCTCAACAAGAAGCTTTGTTTCTGTATTTTGTGGATTTGAATAGAAAATGAATAGAAAATGGCACTCACTGAGTACCAAAGCAAGCTGACAAAATTCAAATGCAAAAGAAATTTAGGGGGGAAATCCTTGCTATCCTTGAATTTTAAGCAAATTTTATGGATTTTTATGACCCCAAACACTGATAATATATCATGTGTATAAAAAAATTTAAATAATTGTGAGAAAGAAAGAGAATTATATACTATATATTGTCTTCTGTTTATTTTAGCTGTATGGAAAATTCCCATTTTGACAACCATTAAACAAGTTAACTATAGGTTTCTTGTAATTTTGCCAACTTTACTGTTTGGTAATAGTTTGACAAAATGTTAACTACAATATTTGATATAGTGTTAACTATGGTATTTTTTCTTTTGGATCATTTGGCAGAAAATGTTTTTCTTTCTAATTCACATTCTAACAGTGAAATTTGTCACAGTACATTCAGTGTTCCCATTGATGGGTCCAGGTTGAATATTACACTCCTTGCATTGCTTGAACCCGGTCAGAATGTGAGAACCATTTAAATGGGTCCAGATCAGGGTTAGAGATGAGATTGAGTGATGATCTTTTTATTTTTAGAACTTGCCTATTTTGCAGTTGTGATTTTTATGTGTTTGTATAAAGTAAAAAATGTATAAGGATCTCCTTATAGAGGAGATGGTCTGTTTTGCGTGGTGTTTCATACTCAGGAACTAACCTAATGCTCCTATAAAGTAGAAAATATATTTCATAAATAAATAAAAAGAATGATTTACTTGTTTGATTCTTAAAAGATGCATAGGCTTTGTTTTTGGTTTCAGTGATTTCTAGTAAAAATTAATCAAACAGAATAAGTGATTTTATCTTCTCTAACTTGATTATGCTGATGCTTTTTCAGTACCAAGAATGTACTTTTGTAGTCATTCTGAAGTTTTGGGTTGAAGAAGAAGTAGTCATCCTAGGTTAGCTCATGGGACTGTGAAAACAAGTCAAAAAAATACAACTAAATGAAAGAGAAAATTAATTTGAAACATAGTAAAAATGTAGAATTTTTGAATAGTGAGTGCTTCCTGTCAGGCTATTGCAGCTTTGCATCCCCCATTCCCACTCAGCGCGGAGGCC